TTTCAGTTATACTGGGCAAAATCCCCTGCAGGTTTCATTTTGTTGGCTGCAGTGATAACTGTGTTCCTGTCTGACTGTTAAGCAGTGAAAAGTTCCCAGGGCAAAATCCTGCTTCTCCAGCTTGGTTTCTTGTGTCCCTATTGGTGAAGTCATATTAAGCATCTTGAGAAACAATAACTATTTGGCTAGGTTTACGGATCATTTTCACTAAAACCTCCAGCAGAATGGATTGGGGCTGGGCAGTTAGTTTCATGAAATGGCTTGGCAGAGATCTCCTGTAGGTGCTATTATTATTACTATTTTTAAATTTTTATTAGAAAGTCAGGTATACAGAGAGGAGGAAAGACAGAGAAGAAGATCTTCCATTCAATGATTCACTGCCCAAGAGGCCACAATGGCCGGAGCCGAGCCAATCCAAAGCCAGGAGCCTGGAGCCTCTTCTGAGTCTCCCACGAGGGTGCAGGATCCCATGGCTTTGGACTATCTTCAGCTTCTTTCTCAGGCCACAAGCAGGGAACTGAATGGGAAGCAGGGCCACTGGGATTAGAACTGGCACCCATATGAGATCCTGGTGCATTCAAGGCGAGGACTTCAGCCACTAGGCTACTGTGCTGGGCCTTAAGTGCTATTATTTTATTTTTTTTAAAGATTTATTTTTATTATTTTTTTATTGGAAAGGCGATATACAGAGAGGAGATACAGAAAGGAAGTTCTTCCGTCCGATGATTCACTCCCCAAGTGAGCACAACGGGTCGATACTATGCCAATCCAAAGCCAGGAGCCTCTTCCGGGTCTCCCACGCAGATGCAGGTTCCCAAAGCCTTGGGCCGTCCTTGACTGCTTTCCCGGGCCACAAGCAGGGAGCTGGAAGGGAAGCGGGGCTGCCGGGATTAGAACCGGCGCCCATATGGGATCCCGGGCGTGCAAGGCGAGGACCTTTAACCACTTGCGCCACCGCGCCGGGCCCAAGTGCTATTATTTTTAACTGCTCTTAATCTCACTTTTAGATGTGGTTTGATAGTACCGATTTTATTTTTTTAAGATTTATTTTTATTTATTTTTTTTTTTGCAAAGTCAGATATACAGAGAGGAGAGACAGAGAGGAAGATCTTCTGTCCGATGATTCACTCCCCAAGCGGCCACAATGGCTGGAGCTGAGCCAATCTGAAGCCAGGAGCCAGGAGCTTCTTCCAGGTCTCCCACACAGGTGCATGGTCCCAGTGCTCTGGGCCATCCTCGACTGCTTTCCCAGGCCACAAGCAGGGAGCTGGATGGAAACAGGGCTGCCAGAATTAGAACCGGTGCCCATATGGATTCCGGCGCATTCAAGGTGAGGACTTTAGCTAGTAGGCCATGTCACCAGGCCCAGACATAAAGATCTTCACATGCTGCTGGTTATACAGGTGGTCATAGTTCTTGAAGATTTATAGAACCGTGTATTTTAAATGTGAATGTGATTTTATGGAAATGCTGTTTTGAGGTTTATTAAATTAAAAATATATTAAAAGCACAAGGCAGGAAGTGAGGAAGGGGAGACAAATGGGCCCTCAGGGCAGGAAGCAACCCAGAGACGAACCACAATTGACGCAAGGTATCGCGGAGACGTTGAAGCACTAACTCTACAGCCCAGGGGGTCCCTGGGAATCCATCCAGCTGCTGCTCATGCCTTTCTCGGGCCAGAACTGTTTGCCTAATGAGCATTCAACATCTCTTCTTGGCTTATCAATGTGTAAGAACTTTTCCATTTTCCCTCCGCTGCTTCCCATCACCAAAGGCAAGGATCTGCTCATCTACTTCATTTTGTAATAACGTTTTATTGAAACACACTTATACTCAATTTTTTACATAGTGTCTGCGACTGATTTCATGCATTAATAACACCATTGGATATTAGCGAAAGACACTGTGTGGCTTGCAAAATTTAAAATACTTGATACCTACCCATTATAGAATAAAAATGCTAACTATTGACATAAAGCTTCCATGCTCTTGCCTTACCATTTCTCCCTTTCTACCCCCACAATTTTCTATCTAGATCTGTTCTCCATTCCAGCCTGCTAAGATCTCCCTTCAAGTCAGTCCGATGGTTTTTTGCTACTGTCATGATCTTCTTTCCTGTGGGTAATCAATGTGTTTGGCCAAACTGCTTTCCTACTAGCTTGCTTGATTTCATTTTCTTCTTGGAAGGTATCTTTTTCTTATTTGCATTCTAATATGTTCTTAAAAAACTACAACCTTTTTTTTTAAAAGATGCTAATACATTTTGAGAAGTATAGTGTGACATTTTACTGCATACATACAAACATGCAGATTAAATCGGAGAGATCAACATTTCTTCCTCTGTATCTCCTTTATGATTGGGACTCTTGCTCACATTACATCTTCATTGAATTACTGTCATGCAGTAATGTGTTCTCCTTGGGTTACTTTAGCTATAATTAGACTAGAGGCTGATTTGGGGGAAAAAAAAAAGGTGTTGTTTTTCCTTTTCCGCTATATCCTCTTTTCCCACCCATTCCAAAATTCAGGGTGAGATATGAAATCTAGCTGTATTTTGTCCACTTTGTCCCATCTGCCCTCTCACAGTTAGGAGTCATTTTTAATCTCATTTAGAGCATTGCGGTATTAAGTTAGTAGTCTTTCTGCTCTGTTCTTACTCCAATCTCTTTCTCTGTTTGCTACAAAATATAGTAATGTTTATAAACAGAAATCAATTAATTTTACTTTATTCCCTAAAATGCTTCGGTGGCCTGTGATTGCATCTAGAATAAAATCTGCTCCATACTCAGCTTACCATCTTTGTCTTCTTCTTTCTTAATCAGTTTACCAAAATACACACATTTAGTAACATAGGAAATATAACTACATTGAACCAGAAATTGAAAAATCAAATGAGCCAATGAACAAAATTCACAAGCCAAAACTGCAGGCCCAGACTTATAGAACATTCCAGACACTCAAGGAAGAAAAGCATCCCTTGATTTCCAAGGTGCTCACAAAGTAGAAAAACAAACAGAAGAAATATATTTGAATTTCTTTTCTGAGTTAGGCATTACATGGATGACACAGTTGGATTAGGACAGGAAATAAAAAAGGAAGTTCAAAAAGCTTTATGAAAAGATAAAGAAATATTTTAAGCTAATATTAGTAAGCTAACTGTAACAACAGATGAAATCAGTAACAATCAGAATATGCAAACAAGCTACAAAGTGGTTAACATTGCAAAATTATCAAGGAAGTAATTCATGCAGAAGGCAAATATTTAAAGGACTATTAACATTAAATGTTAAAGTTTTTAAATAAAATTCAGCTTCTAGTGATAAAAGAAAATGCTAGCAGAATAATAAAAACTAGCAATTTCCTTTTTATAGCTAAGGCTAGATAGAGTACATCTATAATGACCAGCATTGCTAACATATAACACTGAAAGTTTTTCCCTTGAGTAAACTTAGACAGCTTCTTCTTCTAACTTTGTCTCTTAAACATTGTTCTGGGTGTGTAATAACAAAATTAACACAGAAAGGAAATTGTATGCATAGTGGTCAAGTTTTAAGCAACAGAACTATCAATCTGTACGAAGGACCCTATTATGTATAGAGATAATGCAACAGAATGGAAAATAAACTTAGCTTGATGAGAGACTCAAACCACCTTTCTATATACTAATAAGAAACAGATATGGGACAATATTAAAATACAAAATACAGACCATGAAATGAATATTAGTAAGAGAAATGAGATTGAAAAGATTAATTTATGCTATATTTTCAAATATTCTTCTGTATTTTTTGATGATTTTTACATAGTTGATTAGAGTGGTAAGGGTCAAGAGCTACAGCAAAGTGGGTCAGATCACCATTTCCACATTCTCTTGTTTTCCTTCCTGTATCTGGTGGAAGGCGGAAGATAAGGAGAGAAGCCACATATAGCCTCCCAAATGCCTCTGTACCCTAAGTCCAGCCATCCAACACCACCCCAGAACCCACAGCTAACCCATTGTTTTGTGTAGAAGACAGGACTGGAGACAGAACTGAACCAGTAATTGCAACCACCAGCATGTACATAAGCTGGTTGGGGCAAGAAACTGTGTTGGACCCTGTATTGCCAGGCACACACAAGAATCAGGTCTGGGATCATCTCAACCAAGGTTTCTTTGGGGATTCCTCCAACTGAACTGCTGATCTGAGAACCCCAACCATGAAGGGAAGTGCAGGTTTCATGGTCTGACCATGGAGAGCATGTGTCAAAGCTGAGCCACCTTAGAGGCTCAGCTAGAGCAGTGGACTGCATATCCAGGTGCACATGGAGGATATGGCAGTCCATCAGAACGTGCAGGGCACAGCTGGTGGCACAACAGAAGATGGAGGACAGAGTAAATCGATCAACTACTCCAGTCAAGGGTTGGCAATGACTATCAGGGCAAACAGAGACTCTAAGATGGACTACGTCAGCCAGCGGATTTTGGAGAGATTTCATTGTGCTTGGAGAGGCAGTATTGGCAGTAATTCAGAACTGTTGAACTATTGAAACCTCCTGAGCATGACCCTCAGAGCATGCCCCATCTTTGTTTTTTACCATTTCCTTTATTCAGTACATTTCACCAACTCAAGACCGTTGCCTCTGTCTAGCCTCATCTATAATGAATGGCTCTTCCTTCTACAATCATCCATGGATCTGTGCCTTCGCTGTGTCAGCAACTCCCCGTAGAAGTGTCTGTCTCACCCTCAGCATTGCCTTATGTCACACACTACAATCTGAAATCTACCTAGATGATGTATGTAGTCAGTGTTTTATATTCCACCCTTTTATAGATGCCATGAGAACAGAAATCTTTCCTATCTTGCTTGTCATCGTGTCCCTAGTCCCTACCTTGAAATCTGGCATGAAGATGAATAAATGAACAGTGAAAATATAGTACTGAAATAACAATAACTCAGTATTTTTCTCTTTATGAAAATTGTTTTTTTTTTCTTAAAACTCTTTTAATCTGATTTTTACAGGTACTTCCATTGTGACTGTAAAAGCTTTGGCTGCTGATTCAATTCAGGACAGTATTGAATATTCAATTTTTAGTGGAAATGAAGATAAGATTTTTTCCCTGGACTCCCAATCAGGTAATGCTAAAATAATCCTGCAAAATTTGAAAGGGAAAAACTATTAAGGAGAAGGCATTTTAAAGATAATCAGAACTTTTCACAGTCATTTATGAAAAATTATGGGAAGTGAAAGACCACTTTCTTTATGGTCACTGAGAATTCTATTAGATACTGCTTATCCTGCTGTTTGAACTTTTGAAGATAAATTACATTCCACTTATACTTTATCTCTCTGTTGGAAACATTTGGAAATGTGGTAGAGAATTGTGATCGTGAGTCTGAACTGAAAATAAACTCACATGTCTAGCCTCAGGGAATTTTCATCAGAGATTCATCTGATTTGCCACTGAATGTCAACAAGGCAACAACAAGACAGCTGGGAAAGTTTCTTTGTGGCAGTAATTACTTCCAACGACAGCATGTATTAGATTTAGCTTTAATAAGACCATTATTGGGTTTTAAATGAATCCAAATTGATTATTTGAAACATTTTTAACCAACAATTACGTAGTATATACATATCCACTGCATCATTGTCAAACATCAAAAAGAATGCTTTTAGTAATTTGTGTGTTACTATACAACTGTCTTATTTCATCTATACTATGTGTATATGGGAAGAATCAAGAGAGAGTACTTAAGAAAATGATTTCTCATCCTGGATCATATACAACACTTCGGTCCATACAATCTCTGGTCAGCATGTTTTATAATTCATGATAGAGGAAGTATTCTTTCTTCACCCATTATTGATTTAAAAGAAGGTGCTAGATAGAATCAAGACAATGGAATATGATAAGGACACGTTTAAACAGAGAATTATTAGCCATGGTGAAGCAGAAAGGAGACATTCCAGGAAATAGGAGAGGACAGACCAGTGTCAGAGAGGCACCTGGAGACTGATGGACACAGGAAAGCAGCAGAGACACAGTGTGGTGTTGCAGTGAACAGATACCACAGTGGCATTCAAACAGCAGTGATATGAACTCCACTGGAAGCTGGAATTCCACCAGCAACCAGGTGGGAAGGGACTTTCACTGGGTGCTCCGGAGGGGAACACAAAGAACTCCCCGTCCTGCTGGTTTGTTTGATTTGACCAGGAGCTAAGACAGAGCGGCAGATGCCAAACAGGCAGTGTGGGGACAGGGTAAATGTCACAGCCCAGACCCTCCACCAGAGCTGCAATCAGGCAACATTTTGTGTAGGGAGACAGGACTGTGCATGCACTAAACTGGGAGTAAACTCATTTCTGGCTTAGTGAACAGCAACAATGTGGCATTCTACAGGTTCCACCCAAGACAGGTCCAGATAGACCTCAGACCTGAGAGCCAGCAGATCAAAAACTCTAGTAGTGGCACATCAGGCACCATTTTTACAGTGTGTCAAAGAAATTAAGACTGCAGGGACAAAAATGAGCTGCACATGTGCTGAGCTCATGAGAACTCACAGAGTCAGTGGACTGCACTGGTCCCACAGGAAAATAATACTGACTATTCCAGTGTATGGGTCAAAATAGGTCCAAGTGGGGTCCAGTGCCATGGCCTAGTGGCTAAAGTCCTCGCTTTGTACACGCCTGGGATCCCATAAGGGCACCGGTTCTATCCCGGCAGCCCCACTTCCCATCCAGCTCCCTGCTTGTGGCCTGGGAAAGCAGTCAGGGACGGCCCAAAGCTTTGGGACCCTGTACCCATGTGGGAGATCCAGAAGAAGTCCCTGGTTCCCGGCTTTAGATCGGCGTAGCACCGGCCGTTGCACTCACTTGGGGAGTGAATCATCAGGTGGAAGATCTTCCTCTCTGTCTCTCCTCCTCTCTCTATATCTGACTTTGTAATAAGAATAAATAATAAAAAACATAAATCTTAAAAAAAAAAATAGGCCCAAAGGGCACCCAGACCTAACAGCCAACAGGTTTCAGCGAGACAGCAAGATTAGCACCAACAATAACCTAACTATATAGGATACCTGGTGTCTCCCTAATCCTGGGACCTGTTCCAATTGGAAGTGGGAGAAAGACTGTACAGACAATGGTGCAGCTTCAGCATGGTATCACAGGAGGTGGAGACTGCTGAGCCAGGAGCTGGGGCTACAGAGACCATGGTGGAAATCTAACATAGGAACCCAGACCTGGAACGTGCTGGAGGGAGTGGCACAAGTGACTGCAAACAAAGAGCCATGTACCGACCGCAATAAGTAAAATCAAACTGTAGACCTGTGTGTGACACAGCTTAGAAACCTGCCCCAAGAGACTGATAACCAGAAGTACAATGACTAAGAGCAAAAGGAGAGACAGAGGCACAATGAATATTACTGAGGACTCCCCTGCAAAGGAGCAAAACCCTATGCCAACTTCAGAAGACATCGAGAAAATGGGGACACAGAATTCAGAAAACACTTGTTATAAAACTTCTGATCAACAACAAGAAGCACATAAAGCAGGCATTCAAGGAATATGTCACACTGGAAACAAATGAAAGCTGATATAGCAGAAATGAAGAATACAGTGGAGCAAATTAAAAGTGCAAAGGAGAATCTCCAAAATAGAATGAAGAATGCAGAAGAAAGAATCTTAAAATTAGAAGATATTTCCTGTCACTAGGGGAAATATACAGAAAGCTGGAGGCAGAGCTGGATTAGGGCAAAAAAAGTATTCAAGAATTGAAAGATACTATTAAAAGGCCTAGTATAAGAGTTATGGAAGTCCCAGAGGTACAGAAAGAGAGGCTGGGTTTACAAATGTGTTTAATGAAATAATAAGGGAAAATTTCCCTCATCTAGAGAAAGAAGTGGGAAACAAGATCCAGGAAGGGCACAGAACTCCCAACAGGCTTGATCAAAAACAGTCTTCACCAGGACATATGCTAATCAAGCTCTCTTCAATTGAACATAAGGAAAATATCCTTAAATGCGCATGTGAAAAAAATAAGCAGACATATAAAGAAATGTCAATTAAAGTCACAGGGGACCTCTCACAGGAAACTCTACAGGCCAGAAGAAAAGGGAGTGACATATTTCAGATTCTAAAAGAAAAAAAAATTGTCAGCCCAGAATAACATACCCAGCAAAACTTTCCTTTATCTTTGAAAATGAAATAAAATTCTTCCACAGTAAAGAAAAGTTAAAAGAATTTGCCTCTTTCAAACCTGCCCTACAAATGATACTTCAAGATGTTCTCTTGGCAGAGAAAAGGAATAGCACCCACCAAAACTAAAGACAAATGCAAAGAAAATCCCAGTCAAATAACAGTGGAAGACTAAATCAGTGAACAACCCATTGCTCGAGTGACAGAACCAAATTACCACCTGTTCATATTAATCCTGAACTTAAATGGCCTAACCTCATCAGTCAAACATCATAGATCGGTAGAGTGGATTAAAAACAAAACCCATCTGTTTGTTGCCTACAGGAGACACATTTCACCAACAACCCGGCAGAAACTGTATGTCATGGATTTTCATTTTTTTTAAGACTTATTTATTTATTTGTTTTTATTACAAAGTCAGATATAGAGAGAGGAGGAGAGACAGAGAGGAAGATCTTCCATCTGTTGATTCACTCCTTAAGTGACCGCAACGGCCAGTGCTGTGCTGATCTAAAGCCGGGAACCAGGAACTTCTTCTGGGGCTCCCACGTGGGTGCAGGATCCCAAAGTTTTGGGCCATCTGCGACTGCTTTCCCAGACCACAAGCAGGGAGCTGGATGGGAGGTAGAGCTGCCAGGATGCCCATATGGGATCCCGGCGCGTTCAAGGCTAGGACTTTAGCCACTAGGCCACGCCACCGGGCCTGATTTTCATTTTTTAAAAAATTTATTTCGTCTCTTCAAAACACTTGCTTCTGATAAATTCTTCAGTGACTCACAGATCATACAGTAGCATCATTTTCTTCAAGAAGGTTCTTGATTTTCTTTTTCATTTGTTCAGCAATGCATTAGTCATTCAGTAGCATGTTATTTAACTTCATGGTGTTAATTTTTTTTTTCTTCCTGTTGTTTATTTGTTTTGTGGTTTTTCATTTAAGAGGATATATAGTAACTGTATAATGGAGACTATCATAGCTAGCAGCATGTTATTTAACTGCATGGCATTGTAAATTTCTATTTTTCTTGCTGTTGTTGGTTTTGTATTGTGGCTTTTCATTTAAGTGGATGTGTAGTGACTCTATAATGGAGAGTATCATATTCTGATGTGAGGATGCAATGGACTCCCAATGAAACTGTTAGAACTGCACTATAGCAATATACTATAGTAATATATAGTAACATAGGGGAACTTGGTGAGGGAGGAGGGAATTGGGGAGAGGGTAAGAAAAATCCCAGGGCCTATGGAACTGTATCATAAAGTGATAATAAGAAAAGGAAATGAAATTTAAAAAATGAAATAAAAGACTAGAACATTAGGGGGCCCCATTTATAACTCTAGTCTCTGTTTTCCTGTATTTGTTGTTGCTACTATTTCAAAATATAATATGTGTAGGTGAACCTAACTAATGAATACATCAACTCAATCTGTCATCTCAGAGGGAGTCAAAAACCTGAATTTGGAATTAATCACTAGACTTTTTTTCCATTATGATTTTCCCATCCTGAATCCCTCTGTGATATCATTTACTTGATGATATAAGCATGGAATTATGTTTTATAGTATTTCATGTCCTGATTCTTCCACTCAACATTTTTACTATGATTTACATAGTAAATGTATAGCAAAGGTTGCTTTGACCCTGTTTGCATAGCTCTTGTTGGATTTAGCTTCAGCACCTCATACTTTTCTTGTTAGAACAAATGAAAAAATGGCTTTCAACACTGCTGGTGTGTGAAGGATACTTAGAAATGCTTCATTGAAGAATGAAATTAAAAGAGAGTATATGTTACTAGAAAAAAACTAATTTTGTCCAAAAAGTTCATGAAAATACATTTTATGAATAAACTATGCATGACTTTCAAAGTTTTCTTTGTTCTTAAATACAGTTGTCTTTTCATTCACTTTTCTGCAAACTTTTTGAAGTCCCCTCATATAATGA